CAAGCCCAATCCCAGTTATTAATTTAGTGGCCTAGCTTGAATTTAATTTTTAAGGTACTATAAAATTAAATATTTATCAGATGGATGGTCCTTGCTTGGTCCTTCCCTGAGCGACTGAGTGTTGTTAACTTGAAGTTCAATTTTTTTTTATATAGGTATCATGAGCGAGGAACAGAAAGGCTATGAACACGATGAATAGTGATTAGCATGCACTGGCCATTAAGACCCCAAATTATTAAGTATATATTCTTTTAATTCTAAAATATATAAATTTTACTGTTCCCAATAATTTTTACTGTTCCCAATTTTACTCGCATGCGAGTAAAAAGAAATTTTTATGGACAAACCTAGAATAAGTTTTGGTATTAAAGCCTGGGCAATAGTGTTGGATATTTTAAGGTGATGTTCAAATTTTTTGAGGCTTTTGTTTTTTTGGGAAAGCGTTCTATGCTTCCTCTACAATATAAAATTTATATATTTCCCCTTAATCAACTCTCTATTTTGAATGGAGGGCTAAGATTGCCCCAATCACAATGTCACGTCTTTACACTGTTTTATTTTTAATTTTTTTTCTATAAACTATTATGACACCCAATTTTGATCGTCCAATCCTCTATTAAACTCGAAAAATATAAAGCAAAATATTTTTAATAAAATAAAATGGCCAAAATACCCCTAAAAGTTAAAAGGGGTATTTTGATCATTATATTTTATAGAAAAAATATTTTAAATATTTTTTATAGGTGCGCCCCAATGAAAAATGGCACGTACCAAATTTCATATTCATATAATTTGAATTAAAAAACTAAAAATAAAATACTTTGGGATGTCGGATTTAAGATCAAAATTAGACGGTTGGATGGTAGGGGAAGCATAGATCTTCTATGCTGTAGGGAAAGTATAGAAACCTTTCTCTTTTTTTTGCATTCTTATTTGGGCAAGCTTTCTATACTTCCCCTACAGCATAGAGGTTCTATCCTCCTCCTCCCCCTTATCCAACCCTCCATTCTGAATGGAGGGTTAAGATTGCCCAATCACAATGTCACGTCTCTACACTATTTTATTTTTATTTTTTTTTCTATATACAATTTTGACACCGAATTTTGGACGTCCATTCCTCTATTAAACTCACACTAATGAAAAATATATTAAAAAAATATTTTCAATAAAATAAAATGACCAAAATACCCCTGAAAGTTTCAAGGGGTATTTTGGTCATTATATTTTATCAAAAAATTATTATATTTTTTATAGGTACACTCCCATGAGAAAATGGCACATACTAAATTTCATATTCATACAATTTGTATAAAACAAACTAACATAAAATACTTTGAGACGTCAGATCTAAGATCAAACGATGAGTGGCTCTCTTGGTCAAAATTAGACGGCTGGATGCTAGGGGAGGATAGAACTTCTATGTTGTAGGGGAAGCATAGAAACCTCTCCCTTCTTATTTTACCTTCAGTTCGAAATCTAATTTTTGAATCGCCTTAAACACAAACAGTTTAGTGTTTCTTTTTTATTTTCTTTTTCCTTTTTTTTTTTTTGTGTGTTTTGAGTGACTCGAAAGTTGCACTTTTAATCCAAAGGTAAAATGGGAAAACAACTCAAAAAATAGGACGTCACAATAAAATATCCTAAAATATATACCATTCTTTTTTATTGAATTTGTTTGTGCATAAATTTCTCAAACAAATATACTAAGGAAAGCTAAAGATATGCATGTACTACAAGCTAGGAAAAATATGAATTAAATGAAAAAAAAAAAAATGCAAAAGTACGAAATCTCATAAATGAGAAATCGTGCTTTCACATGTCTTTTAACAAGCAAGAGGCACGTGCCGCGCACTCTTTATTATATTATGATTTTATGATTACATTCAAGATTGCAAGAATACATAGAAACTACTTTCTAAATAATAAAAGGAAAAAAAGTCTAAATAATACGTTAACATTGTATTATAGAAGTAAGGTAGGAAAAGTAGTTCAATTGTTATAAAACCTTCCAATTAATCATCTTAACCTTGAGATATATGGATGTAAAAAAATAAAAAAAAGATTTTCACATCTAGGAAATAGTGCATCTTGCAATGTTATAGTTGGACCCTCCATTCTCAAAATTTTCAAGTGTTCATATCTTTGATCAATTTACAATATTTTAGAAGGTTTAAATTTCATAATTAGATATAAAAATAAATATTCAGTCTATCACAAAGATTAGATTTCTAGTCCTAAAAGACATATTTCACTACCATTTAGAATTATACCTTACTTTGAGGGTTTAAGGTGTCAACCTTATACAAACCACCCATAACAAAATCTTTAAATTTATGGGATAGGAATTAGCTTGATGTATGACAGAAGATATTATCCAGGATAGAATATTTCTTGATACAAACTATTGCCAAAATATTTACTTCTCAAGTTTCAAGTTTGGATAAAGATAAGATATTTCTTAAAGGGAGAGTTTCAATTTGCAATTAGAATTCAAGAAGAGGTTTTGAATTGGATTAGGAGGTGGGTGTCCTTCCTCCCTAACCATGTCACTTTATATATTTGCTAGCTTTGATCAAATAAATAAGCTAGTATGTATATAGCCTAAACAATAAAATAGCCACTTCCACCATGTAGCCCATTCAAATGATCTCTTTCTTACAAAAGTCTATTACAATTTTGCATATTATAAGAAAAGGGATTGTATACAATTAAATCATTACTTTGTCACAAACACTTCTCCTTCGATACAAAAATAGGAAGGTTTAGATGTAAACCCCTAGCCACCAGATATTCCCGTTAAAGGTGATTGTGACCTTTTTGTAGCCAAAGCGACAAATTGATTATGAACTCTCTCTTTTGTAAAAAAAAAAAAGTTGTTTCATTGAGAAGTGATTGATGATTTCTTATCGATGAATGGACATTGCGATGGATCGAGAACACGACATAATCCCATTAGATTGACCTCAATAGCAAGTCCCAGTCTCTTCACCACCATCCATCGTCTTCACCACCATCCATCCATTATCTGGACTGTGAGTTGTAATGGACTATGGATTTGCTTTGTTTTGAATTTTGTATAATATATTTATCTCGGAGCATGCATAGTATTTGTTGGAGCCTACTAAATGCTTACTCCATTGGGAAAAAGACTGACTATATTTTCTCAAAATGAAATTTTGAATTCTTCAATGTATTAAGACATTAATTTTTTCCAGGCTGCTATAGAGAGCTCATACTTTTGTCTTTTTTTCCTTTTTTTTTTTTTTTTTTGAGGTTGGTATTTATGTTGACCTGATGACATTTTAACTTCCTTGATGTTGGTTTTTATGTCGAGGACATTACATCCATAAAGATTTGAGGCCCTAAAAGTACTCCTAGACTGGGATTAACCATAGGAAATGAATATGCCTCGGCGAATGTATATAGTAACTGGGCTATCCATATTTTGTTTGCTTTTTCGTATGAAAGGAGTATTTATTGGTGGACAGGGATTTTTGTTATTGTCAAAATCTCGTGATGTCTACAATAAATACTGCGATATATTTATAATTTTTCTTCAACCTTGTAAGCCATTATATTTTTAATTTTTCAATTTTTTGCTTTTTTAGTTCTTAGTGGAAGCACCTAGACCGCATCTTTCCCTTCTACAATTAAATATCCAAAATGCAATAGTTCATAAGGAGTCGTAGTGCTGGTCAATATTGCATGAGGAATGATAGCTCGTATATGGGTCTGAAGTCTTTTCTCAGGTGGTTAAGAACTTAGCTCGAGCTCAGGACTAAGCTCATGCCCGTGAGTAACTCAAGCGAGTTCAAGTAGACTTGTGAAAGTATTGTATGAACATAAAAAGGGCTTAATATATATCTTATAATAAGAAGAACTCAAAAATCATCATAAAAACCTCAGCCAATTGTTCGAACTTTATGAGCATTGCCACTCTTCTAAGCTATTGTAACTTTGATAGTTCTTATGTGTTATTGGAGTCTTTTATGAGCTCTGCCATTCTGCATACCTATTCTAACTTGTGCAATCTTCAATGCCCAGAGTGATGATATCACAAACCATGAGTGGTTGTCTTGCTTCATGGAAGATGCCTACTTTAGGTCCTCAGAGTCCCTTGCTAAAGTACAGGATAGCACTTCATTAAAGCAAGAACAAGTAACAAGCTCCATGTTAGATAAAAGGGTGGAGATTTGGAGACATCCCTGCACCCCATTAATGCAAGAAAAAGTAAAAGGCTCCATGTCAGATAAAGAAGTGGAGAAAGAACAAGTAATAGGCTCCATGTTAAATATAGAAGTGGAGAAAGAAGAAGTAAGAGGCTCCATGTTAGATAACGAAGTGAAGATTTGGATACAGCCCAGCACCCCATTAAAGCAAGAACAAGTAAGAGGATTCATGTTAGATAAAAAATTGGAGATTTGGAGCTCAGACAATGAGCCCACCTCAGTTCTTGATGCAAAATTTTCCGACAATTCTCCTCCCCATGAAAACACTTCGAGAGATATGGAGATTTGGAGAGCAGACAATGAACCCACCTCAGTTCTTGATGCAAAATTTTCCGACGATAAGGCCCATGAAAACACTATGAGAGATATGGATCTAGAAGACAACCTCAGCTCCATGACTGATCCAAGCTATTCAGAGCCTACCCATCACAAGACGCTTGGAGTGAAGGATACAAACATCATCACCACCTTCAACTTTGAGAAAGAAATTTCAGAAATGGCCTGTGAAAAGTCTCTGAGATTGATGAGAGGAGGTGATAGCTTCTCCATTGTGCTTGAAGCAAACCCTATCGATATCCAACCTACAAGCCAATTCACAGATAAAAATTCTGAATCGCCGGATTACAAGACCGTGAATTTGAAGTCCACAGATAGCAATGACATCTGGGATTTTCACATTCCCTTTGTAAAGACTTTGCGATCAATTGCTCAAGATGATAATTCTTACAATATGTTTGACATTAACACCCCATATCCAAAACGACTTAGAAGTAGTCGGAAACCAAGAAAATTTTGGCATCTGCTTGATGCAAACACTTCAAAGAAGCAACGTCAATTCAGAGACAGACTCAATAAACTCTCAATATCTCAAATTATGATTTCGGGGGAGTCATCAAGATTTGTAAGGAGATGCATGCATTGCTTCACAGAGAAGACCCCTCAGTGGAGGAAGGGGCCTCAAGGGCCAAAGACTCTTTGCAATGCGTGTGGTGTTCGGTACATGTCTGGTAGGCTCCTACCTGAATACCGACCAGGAGATAGTCCTACTTTTGTTCCTTCCCAACATTCCAATTCCCATAGAAAGGTGATCCAGATGAGGCAAAGAAGGGGAATACATTAGATGACGATGACAACGACGACGATGATGACAAACGAAAATGATCATTGTTGATTTAGTAGGATCTTTAATTTCAATAGCTTGGTATCATTCCTTTGTGGTTAGCAATAGGAAAGAACTATAGAGAGGAAACACTAGCATGTTCACCATTTCTTTCATAGGTAGAGTTCACATAAAGTTGCAACCTTACTTGTAGAATTAAGGTTGCACATATCTACACGGTCGATTTTGGTGAGACAATGTAGATTTGGTATATCTATTTTAGATAATACCAAATAATTAACCTATTTTTTAACCTAAACAAATGTGTTAAATCATGCTATTTTTAAACTCAATCATTTTTCTCTCTTCACTTATATACCCCAAACTTCTATCTTTCTCTCACCTCCATGAAGCCCTACTCTCTCTCTCTCTCTCTCTAGAAGTTTGGGAGAATGACTTTTAAAAAAATATATGTCTTTTTAGATTTGTTTGGCCTAAAAAAACAGGCTTAAATTAGCTCAAGGGGTTAGAAGAAAAAAAATCTACGAGTTTTATGCTCCAAGATATATTTTAAAACCTTAGGTCTATTGGGAAATGAAATATAAAAATACGAGGTATGAAGATATTTTCCCAATTTAAAAATGAGTAATTAATGTATTGACAAAAAAAAAAATGAAATAGGCCAATTATGAGCAAAAATTGTAGGGAAGGTTGGTCAACCCACATTTTTTATTTTTTTCAAAATTGCCCCTCTGTCCGAGGATGTCATCCTTTAACTACTTTTTATTTTTAATTATTTAGTTTTTTCATTAGTAGTGTTCAATTCCAAAGCAATCCGAGGATGGGAACCTAGAATTGCTCTCTGGATTGAGCCAGGTGAGCCTTGCTATTGAAAGAACTTAAAAAAAAAAAAAGCGGTTCAATGATGGCTGAGCCTTACTATTGAAAGAACTAAAAAAAAACACGGTTCGATGATGGCATCCTTAAAAAAACACATGTTGACTGACCATCTGTATAATATTTGTTCAAAATTGGCCGATTTCATAGATTTGTTTTCTTCTTCTTCTTTTTTTTGTGTCAGTACATAAATTACTCATTAGGGAAACAACTTTTTAACGGTCAAGGGTGAGTTCTGGCTCTGACTTAGAAGGTGAGAGGCGGCTCAATTTGGGCCGTCCAATCCTCAACACCACCCCTGCATGCTCACCCAAATTTGGCTTTAGAGCTGAATTTGAAGTCAAGCCCATGTGGCCCACTGGACAGACTGGACCGGTTGTCCGACAGATAGAGCTGCCGACCAGAGCCTTCTCCGGCCTAATGGAAGCTCTAAAATGGAATTTACACAGAATAGGTCAAAATGGGCATTTGGCCGGTCAAACTATCTCGATCACCAATTTTACTAGTTCTATATGGTTTTGGAAAAGTTTAATTTGATTACATTTTTTTAAATTTTTTTTTAACTTTGTGACACATTCTAGGTTGTCATATTTTACCTGTGACAGATAGATGTGACAGATAGAGGTGATTGCAACTTTATTCTTATAATATAATCCCTAGAGTAATACCTTCAACTCCAATAAATAAAAATAAAATAATAAAATGCGAACGATGAAATTATAAATTCCCAATTTACCTTGACTAATATCAATGACTTGGATATGATGTGCAGGTGCATATAGATGAGAATCAAAAATTCCATATAGTGATGATCCTTGTAAATATTTTCACCACACAAAGACTGAAGTTCATGACTTGTCGTCTTCACCATATTCATACAAGGAAAATTGTTTCCCGCGGGCTGGACCGCGTGGCTACATATGCGGACAAAAAAGTGTAAGGCACCCATCTTAAAGATGGATGCAAGTAGGTGTTCTATCTAAATGGAAACTAATGGTTCAAATGTTTTTTTACTAAAATTATTATTTTTAATTTTCAAAATTTATTTATTTTTTCATATTCATGATCTCCATGTTAGAGATTACATGTCCTTATAAATTAAGTCAAAAAAACTATCTCAAAAATAAATTTATTAATAGGCCCGCATTTCTACAAATACGGGCTTGGCTGCATAGAAATTGGGTCCTTCATACAATAGATAGAAGGCTAACGCCACGATGATGATGATTAATACAAGGGTGCGGTTTGTATAGAGCCGAGGCTCTAAACAATCAAATTAGAGCCCACCTTAAAATAGTATCAAGAAATATGGTTTCAATACTGGAAAGTTTTGTGATAGCTTTAAATTATATTTTCATCTTTATTTATAAAATTTGAAGCTTTAAAAATAGTGTAGATCGAGCAGATCTATGAAAACTTGAAAAACTTGAAAATTGACATTGCAAAAATTAGCTACAAGATCACTATTTCCAAAACTTAAAATCCATTCTTTTCCTCATGTCGATGCATCTTGATGTTGAGATGATCAATTTGATGATATTTTGGCATCAAAACAACCTCTTCTAGTGAAAGTTTTGAGGCAGACTCTAATTTGATTGTTTAGAGCCTAGGCTCCATATAAACTTTTCCCTTAATACAATAGGTTGGGTAACGACTTCAATGCTCACTTGGAGCGAATGAAAGAATAAAAATAAAAAAAAATGGAAATGTATACTATGAGACCATTTATTTTTTATATGAGAATCTCACAATTATTATTGACTATTTGATGTGAAATCAGGTTGTTGGGGATGTGCCAATGATTGGGCACAAGTTCAAAATAAAATTTGTCGAATGTTGTGTTACGATGACATTAATAGGTTTTCAGTATGTTATATGGATACTTGTGCTAAAAATTTCAATTCTAAAATAAATTTTCAAAGACAATTTATCGTACATCATTTAGATAGGTATGTTGACACTTCAGCATACATTATAAAGTACTTTTTATTGGAAGATTTTAACAATAAAGATTAATAAGAAGTGTCTGACTTTTTTAGAATTTTCAAAAGGACACGCTTTCTATGAGTCCATGTAGAAATGAGTGACCTCTTAAAAATATATTTTTGAGATGGAGTTTTGGACTTAATTTTTAAGAGCGAGTAATCTCTAACATGGAGATCATGAATATGAAAAAATAAATAAATTGTGAAAATTATAATAGTTATTCTATTAACAAAATATTTGGACCATTTGTTTCAATTATTTTTAAATGGACCACCTATTTGCATCCATCTTTAAGATGAATGCTTTATACCTTAGGGACTGCAAATGTAGAAATGCGGTCCCCGTTGCATGAAACAATTTTCCTTTTCGAAAAAGAAGTGTCTGAAGTTTGGTATGCTCTCTCGAATCACATGATTATTTTTTAAAAGGGAATTCAGATTTTGCCTTTTTAAACACTTAGATTTGGCTGTCCAAAAATTTTTAACCTTCAATTTTAGAATATTGTAGGCTGTTGTATTTTTTAGGCTCATAAAGATTACTTTTAATATCTTTTTTATTTGAACATAATACATCCATAAAATTTGGAGTGTCCTAAAAATACTCCAGAGTTCTAAGGATGGCAATGGGCTAGGTAGCTTACCCCGCCCCGATGAGCATGGCCCGAAAAAACTAGGCTTGGCCTGGGCAACCACAGGCTAAGGTTAGAGTCGTCCGGGCCTAGGCCAAAAAGACCAATTGAGAGGATATTTTTAATATAAAATTTTAGGAACCACCTAAGAAGCACTAGACGATTATTTTCAAAATAAAAAAAGTGCTTTTTGAGCTTTGTGATAATTAGATCACGCCTTTAAAAAATTGGACAGTCCCTGTTCAATTTCGATTTTTTTGTAGTACTTAGAGAGTTCAACTTGGATATCTTTTTTTCTAAACGAAGTTAGTTCAGAGGTTGATAAGGTTGCATCCACAAAATTAAGGGTCCTAAAATTACTCCTACATTTGATTTTGCCCAGGGGATTAAATGGACAGTAATACTCCAGCGAGAGTATACAATCTTTTGGCACTGAAGTTTTCAACGCATGTCAAGAAATAGCACTTGAGGCACCATCATAAAACCCTAGTTTTCAGCCCCTATAAGTAGCGGAGGTGTGCTTCCCTAAACATTTTACACAGGAGCTCCAGTAACGACCTAGCTTTCCTTCTCCGTGAGGTAACTAGGGTTTCTGCTTCAGTATGGTTTTTCTATTTTCTCTTAACTCCGCATCGTGTCTTTCTTGTTCTAGTAATCAAAATCTCTTGCTTTCATTTCCCTAGTAGGGTTTTATTGCTCTGGTTATTCTTTCATCTTTTATGGTCTTCAATGTCAAAATTTTCTTTTTCTCCTTGTCTTTTTGTTTTAAAGGGTTTATGCCTATCTGATTTTACCTTTTTAGCCATTTTTAGTTTTTCTGATTGCCTCTGTATCTCCCTAGGGTTGATTTTATCAAGGATTTCAAGGAAATAATTCGTGAAAATGTCAGCTGGGTATGGTCCTCAATCTTCTCGAGAAGTATTTTGTTTTGATATTACTTGATTTGCATTTCTGGTTCATTGCATTCATAAGATTATTTTGTTCACCAACGTGAGATTAATTTGCCCAAAAGTTAGTCTTGATCTATGGAACTCAGTGTGGTTACAATACCATTGTGAATTGTTGATATACTTTAATGCCCTGGAGTTTTCTAGTGTTTTTCTTCAAGCTCACTTTTTCCATGACTGAAAATTTATGCTTGCTAGTTCTTACCACGATCATGACGGGTAATTTGTTGCAACATTTTGTACGGTCAGCAATGGATGCGGAATTTCAATATGCTAACCAGCAAGACGTAAATATGGCAATAGAAATTTTTGTTTTAGTATTCCTGTGCAGGGTTAACATATCTGGATGCATTATACGAAGATAAGATTTCCTTTATGCAGAGTTAATTCAAATGAGTTTGAATCCAGAAACTCATTTACCTTTTCGGATATGTTGTATCCTTTCTGACATATGTCTTTGAAGTATATACTATTGAACATCCATTCAAACATATTGTATCATTCTATTGTATCTGAAGTAGTTATCTTGACAATTGAACCCATTTTTATTAAACTTTGAAAGGTTGAAGTAGTACAAACCATTACAAAACTTGGTTCCAATTTAGTTGAACACCTTAGCTGTCATCTATTCCTAAATTTTGAACTTGTGAACCTGTTATCCTGGACTTCATTTTTTTTAATTTATTTTGTTAGAACAAAAGATTTGTACAAGTATGGGTGAAAGAAGTTGATAGAAAATATGACCAGAAGCTGAAAATTCTGTCTCGAATGAATTTTATACAAGAACCAAGAATATGGGATCTCTTTTCCTAAGAGGGCAGCAGTGTGAACCCGATTTTTCATTGGCTGCAGTAGCCTCTTTTTGGGCACAGTTTAAGGAGACTCAAAAGGAGAAAAGGTGGAAATTCTCCTCAAAAGTGATTTGCCCGTCTCCATGTGCGGGGAGCCCTTGTGTTGGCCCGTCCAATAATATTGAGTGTCTCCTTCAGTGAACAAGTGCCGGCCCAACTGTGATCGAATAGCTTGAGACCCCTGAGGAGAGCTTGGGTCTTGGACAATGTTGTGTTCCCAACACCAGTGGATCGGAGTAACTGGGAATGGAGTTTCCGAGCCGATCTCTTAAAATCCCGCTGACTCTAAATGGTTCCGAGTCATCCAGAGAGCACCCGTCGAAGTTTATTTGATATGGTACTGCTCAGAGGTGTATCCAAGCTGAGTATATGCCAATCTTTCTGGGTTTGGCCCATATGATTGCACTTTAGCAGCTCGCAAGGTCTGAGGTTAAAAACCAAAGAACTCCTTGCAGAATAGTGTCCATAACGAAATCATGGTTGTGGATCCCTCAATAAGTGTGACGAGGTTGAGGTCTGACTCTTGGAATATATCTATTTTATTCGAACCAATTAATCCAGATTATACAAGTAATAGTGAGCTCCCAAAGGATTGATTGAGGAGGGATATTATTTAAGCTTATGTGGAGGTTGGGATGATCCAGGGAAGCCCAAAGAGGTTGAGGAAGAAATGTGTTATTTTTAATTAATTGTGCAATGGATGAAGAGGTGGTTGAGTGATTCCTCTCCTTCTTTCACATGGAGCATCTGTGGGACATCTATTTGGCAATGGGATTCCCCTTCCTTGGATGTGGTATGAAGTGGAAGCTTTTTTAGGACCATAGTCCAGTTCGAAGCCTGTTCTGGGATGGTCCACATCTTTCAACTGGTAGCCAAGGCTCTGTTTAAAGGGGAAAGGGATTTATAGATTGAGAAGTTGCATGTGTGTTGTCCCTGCTGCGTTTATGTTATCTATCAGATTGAGGAGATCCTTTTCTTCCCATTTATGTAGGTTTGTTTGAAACCTCAAGGTCCATATCAGGCGGCCACCTAGTATTTCATGGGTTCACGCAATGGTAGCTTCTTGATCAATGGTAAAAGAGAACATGCTTGGAAAGAGAGATCAGTGTTTCAAATAGCAAACCGCTCAGCGCCTAGGCGGTTCTGGGAGGCCTGGGCGAAAAAGCGGATAGCCCTGAGCTCCCGCCTAGGCAGCCTGCTTAGGGCCTGGGCGGGCCAAAATGCCACTCGTTGAGAGTATTTTTGGGTCATTTTTTTAATACTAAAGGTGCAAAATTGTGGGTTTTAGGTTCATTTGAAACCTAAAACCCATTAGACCCTATTTTAGAGAGAGAGAACCCTAAAAATAAGAAAATTTCTACTAGGCCGTCCAAGTTTTGGGCACCCGCCATCTAAAACGAATGTTTGTGAACAATGTGGATATCACTTGAAAATGAGTAGCTCAGATAGAATCGAACTCTCGATTGATCCAAGCACTTGGCATCCTATGGATGAAGTTATGGTCTCCACGGATCCTATTGAATTTCGTTCGGAGGAGGAACCTTATAGAGATCGCATCGATTCTTATCAAAGACAAGCAGGTTTGACCGATGCTGTTCAAACATGCATAGGTCAACTAGAAGGTATTCCGATAGCGATTGGAGGCATTGGGCAGCGTGGACCCCCCCCGACCGCCTAGGTGCTACCTAGCGCTTTTTGAAACACTGAGAGAGATTCAAGAGTACTGTTGGCAGTCCACAGGTCTGTAATTGATGGAACTGCCTGCTTGGGTTGAGAATCGATGTAGGAGGAGACATTATACATTACCCCTGGGTGTACTTGGGCAGCCACCTTAAGGGGTCAACTCCATACCTATACATCATTTCCGCTGTTAGTTGTGGTTCTCGGTGAATCGCTGTGAATCTTTATAGCCATTTACCAAGTAAGGTGGAATTCATTTCCTTCAGTCTTCTTATCCCTAGACTATTCTCCTGTTTGGGCAGGTGAACCTCATCCCATTTGATGAGTTGGAACTTGTGGGTGTTCCTAGAATGCTTCGAAGGAAATGTTTCATCATGGTCTTGAACTTTTGATGGCTAGCATGGGCACACTAAGAGGGACATATGGATTGAGGGAGTACAAACCAGGGTAGCTTTGATGAGAGTGATGGCAACCCCCAAGGGATAAGAACCCAAATTTCCAGGCTGCTGGTCATCTTTCGAAATTTTTTTGACAACCCTAGCTTATTCTTCTTTTTTAGAGGTCTCTTTCTTTTTTTTTTAGAACAAAGAGAGTGACGGAGACCCCAAGAGCAAACTTTTTCTAGGTTTGCTTCTTTTATTAGAACAAGAAAAGCTTTATACATTTCCTCTCCCCAAAAAAAAATTCATTTCAAAAGGTACTTTCTCTCCTGTGATATCTGTTATATATGTAACTATCTGTAGTTATCAGCCAAATATGTGTGTGCTAGATACTGCCTTCCAAATGTCATCCTTTTGTTTCCATAGTGTTACGCTTGCTCCATTTTCTCGACCAAAATCCATGATTATGCTTGAACATTGTGAAAGCATAATCTTGGGATGACGATCCCAATATTAAGCAATGCAGAATTTGTTCTCACATTCCAAAAGTTTCTCCATTTAAGTTTCCCCATGAAATTCTCAAGTCCAACTATGAAAAAGAAGAAAATGAATAGGAGGCCTAATCTATTTAAATTTCAAGCATCATATATATCTCTTATTTGATAGATTCTGATGTATGCATGTACTATCAAAGCCATGGATGCGTGATATGACAGGAAAGATTCCTGGCCATTGTTTTTTGCATTTCATGGGCTATTTGTGCCTTGGTAAGTTTTTTAGTGGGTCATATTCTTTGTGATTGTTATGTTCAATTAATCATATTAGAGAATTATTATCAGTTTCCATCAACATTCAATTAATCATTTATTGTATCTCCAGCCATCTTCTCTCTCTACATTATATATATGTATGTGTGTGCGGGTGTATGTCCGTGTTTGCGTGTAGTGCGCATGTGTAGCTGCTTTTATTTTTCTGGTAATCACACAGTGGCTGGCGTTGTTTCGGTCTTAACAGAGATGAAGCTTCAAATGTTCCAGCTGAGGCCTCTGGTCCCGCTCTTGGCGAACCAATGGACATTATGACTGCTCTTCAACTCGTGTTGAAGAAGTCACTCGTTCATGATGGCATTGCCCGTGGCCTCCATGAGGCTGCCAAAGTCATTGAGAAGCATGCTGCTCAGCTCTGTGTTCTTGCTGAGGATTGTGACCAACCTGACTATGTGAAGCTGGTCAGAGCCATTTGTGCTGATAACAATGTTAGCTTGATCACTGTGCCAAGTGCTAAGACACTTGGAGAGTGGGTTGGGGTAAGTAGATTGAGCTTAATCTTACTTTTCATGTGATGGGTATCTTTCATTGCACTATGGTTGTGAAAATTTGTCGAAGTTCATCGGGTTGACTTTTTATGAAATGCTTTCTCAGTATGATTGATCGTATGTTTGCTTGTTGCATTGCGACAATATAGACTTTAGGCCTGATACTTGGATCTTCTTACGAGCTTGTTTGTCATTATTAAATTTATTCCCTTGGTTAAGTTAGAAACTTCTATTTATTGTGTGAGGGCCTCTTCCTTGGAAGAAATTCCCTTTGAGAGAGAGATTGGGAGGGACCCTTATGTAAGATTGTTCCGCGTTGCTTTGATGGCTGCTCCCAATATATTATATCTGAGTTTTTCCTTTGTCAAATTATTATTGACTTTATGGCTGGTCCCAATATTTTTTATTTGAGTGTTTCCTTTGCGAAATTATTATGTTTACTTGTTCTTGATCTTTTTTGTTGGCATTCATGCACATGCATGAGCCCTTGTGTGTGTGTGTGTGTGTGCGTGAGAGAGAGAGAGAGAGAGAGAGAGAGATGATTTGAATCTACAGAGAGAAATTTCAGCTCACCGTGTTATTATTATATGTAGTTGTGCAAGATCGACTCCGAAGGAAAAGCTAGGAAAGTGGTCGGTTGCTCCTGTGTTGTTATAAAGGTGAAGGCAAAATCTCTCTACGACATAGGATTGTATTATACGAAACTATTTACCTTTGGTACGAGGTCATTATCATTCTTAGTTGTTAGATGTGAAATCGGATGGTTGGTTCTGTGTTAATTTGCCTAAAAAAGTTTTCCAGACTAAGAGCATGTTTAACGGCATGGCACCGTTGTTTGACTTTTTTGTGCCAAAAAGTTATTGTACGCTTTCCCATTACTATTTGTTCTCATTCGATCTGTGTAAGCTTCATCATTTTCCTTTATTTGCTCATTTCTTTTTCTGGGTGGGATTGCAGGATTATGGTGAAGAATCCGAGGGTCTTCATATTGTGCAGGAGTATGTGAAGTCCCACTAAGTTCCCATGTTGAGAGGTTTTCATTTGGAGGGTTCAGAGGGCTCTCATTTGGATGGTTTTTCCTCCCTTTCTCCAAGGGATGCGTGGGTGAGGTAGTAGAGTTATTTTTTTGTTTTATCGGTTTTGGGTATCCTTGTTTAGAAAACTTTAAAACACAAATTTGTTAGCAAAATGAAGTGGGCTCTGAGCTTTTTATGGACTGTAAATGCAATTTGAATGTGGGATCCTTAATGGAATTCTGAATTTTGGGGTTGAATGATGATGCTTGCGAAGTATACTTGCAGAATCTCTTTTCATTGTGACTTTTGGATCTTGGAATGCTCTCTCTCTCTGGACGGACAAATCTCTATATCACTTCCCCTTTGGGTTTCTAGATCTGTTTTTTGAGGTCTAAATTTGGTAATCAGATTTGGTGGACTTGTTTCCAGGTCTGTGTGCATGGTATCAATGCAGCGTGTTAGACAATAGATCAGGACCTGACTGGGTCAGGGTCCGGCCCAGACTTATTCAGGTCGGCCTTGGGTCAGGTTTTGGCCTGACCGGAGTTGCAAACTACGCAATGTAACCAACAAAAAAATTGGACAACTGGTTGGTTTTGAGATTAAAAGTACAAAAAGGAATGGCAGGAGTCTTATATTAACTTCTATGACTCTAAAAGTGTTATCCTTGTAGACTCGTTCAATGGATCAAATTGAAAATGGTTTGATCCAAAAGCCATAAATTGATTGGATTTTTTGTTTATCTTTTTTACAGATTGGGTTACACTGCAGGACACACTCAATAAAAAAGAATAATTCAAATAAAAAATTTCATTAGAATAACCCTAAAAACGCTCGTGAGTATTTGTCGTTATTGTAGCTTGAAGTTCTTTTATGTCGTGTACAGGTGCTATGGACGCTCTAATTTTCATGTGAATCGAAGTTGTAAATGGATAAATCTGAAACTGAAATCAATCTGTAGCCCTTGAAGAGGCATTTATATTCTGTTAGAACGATTGAGGGGCACGAGTACATTTCAAGTGTTTAACTTCATGTAGGTATTTTGTCTCCTTTCAAGTCAAAACAAGCCTGGATTTTATAGAATCTTCTCTCTGTTTTTGGTTAATTCACTTAATTTTCCGACAAATTGAATCTTGTAAATTTATGAGAATCTCTTAGCTATTTTTTGGATAATTCAATGGGGAAGATAGGCTCTTACCCGTTTTCTCAATAGATCGGGGAGTTACTTTTTGAAAGTGTTAATTGGGGGGTCAGCGATAAGAATGGATACTGCGATGTTACGATGTGGTTATTGGGTGAGGGGATGCTACCACCTTGAGTTTTAACCTTTTTCCTATCTCTTTATCTCTTTGAGCTATTGTAGGCACCCACATGTTTATGCCAGATTGGCGAAGGATGTAAAAGGTCCGTTTGGATGCTATATAAGGCGTTGATAAGAAACCTGCAAGTGTGATGTTGTCAATATTTAATTGTCTTATTATCGGGAACGGGTTGATGTTGTGGTGATAGCACCACTTGAGTCTCAACTATCAGTTTAGGTTTTCATTTCTACTGTCGTATTCAAAAACCACTAACTATTTCTAAAATGGGTAGGGCCAGCATTCCCCATTGCTCTACCCAAAAAACAAATTGTCTTATTACCTCTAACAAGAACAAGGCCATCGCATTCAAAAACCACTAACTATTTCTAAAACGGGTAGGGGTCAGTATTCCCCACTAATCTGCCAAAAAAAAAATGTCTTATTACCTACGCTAATAAGAACAAGGCTTGGACTTTGACTAGTTAACTGTTGATTTTAGGCTATATCTAAAGTTCAATTCCTATCACTTAGTTGATTTTAGGCTATATGTTAAGTTCAATTCCTATCACTTAGTAAGTTTGATTCTACAAATTAGTATAAGAGATGGGATTAGACTGATGAAGCTGCAAAACCCAAACCCAGTTCCTTCCTATCACTTAGTAAGTTTGATTCTACAAATTAGTACAAGAGATGGGATTAGACAGATGAAGCTGCAAAACCCAGTTCCCTCGACGTCGTGCTTCATCAAGTAGCTTGAAGTAAACTACTAACTATTCCGTTTTGGGTAAGGATTTGTCACATAATCCGAACTATTATTTTGTTTTTCATAAAAAATTATTAAACGACTTCGTGTGATATAATATTTACAATGAGCCTCACTGCAAGTCTCCCTATGCCTATGTCACTTAATCCCACCTAATATGTTGTTTTTCATAAAAATTTATGAAACGAGGAGTTCTCGTGTGATATAATATTTACAGTGAGCTTCACTGCAAGTCTCCCTATGCCTATGTCACTCTATGTGAACTACTAACTCATTGTTTTAAGGAAAATTGTTTCATGGGGGCTGGACCGCATTTCTCCAATACATGGTCCAGAAGTATAAAACATCCATTTAAAACATCTATTTTAAAGATGGATGCAAATAAGTGGTCCATTTAAAAACAAGTGTAACTAAAGGTCCAAATGTTTGCTTGATATAACTATTATTTCTAGTTTTCAATTTTATTTTATTTTCATATTCATGATCTCCATGTTAAAGATTATATATTCTCTAAAAATTAAGACCAAATTATATTTAAAATATATTTATTACCAAGCCTGCATTTCTACAATATGCAGGCTGATCGCATAGAAACCGTGTCCTTGTTTTAATGTTTCAGTTCCAGTGTTGAATTTGAGTTTAAACAATTTCAATATTCCCGAATGTGCATAAGACTGTCAGGTATTTCTAATTTCAAACTAGGCAAATGGGGCACTATTATGCAGCTGCAATACATGGAGTGGCATCCAAATTATGCATTTTTCTGGAGGAAAAAGTTTTAAAACAAGTGTCTGATGAGTCGGCTGACACAATATATTTGTGCGGTCTTCCTACAAAATATATCTCAAACAAAATATATCTCAAAGATGTAATTGCAAACCAAAATTTTAGGGTTCGAAAACCTCAACCATGACAATGATTTAAATTTAGAATTACAGAAAATATAAATGTTATTTTTTTAATTCACTTCTTCACCATCCATTCTAACTTTTAGTGGATGTAACATTTTTTGACATCCACATTAGAGATAGACGTTAATAGGTAAGGGACTGCACGGTAAAAAGTGAGTCGGCTGACTCACCAAAACCGTGTCCAAAAGTTTACTGTGGAAGTTAGAAGGACCTCAACTTGATCAACGATTCCCATAAAAAGACAATAAATTAGAAGGACCTCAACTTGATCAACGATCCCCATTTCAAAAAAGACGACAAACTCTCTAGGACGTTTAAAATGCAACAAATTGGACACTACTTGGGATTGTCTACTTAAAAGACTGTTTACATGAAGGCCCCAATCACACCAAACCGTTAGATGTAAAATCCGACGAATGGGGCAATGTCAAAAATTCGAGAAAATATTTTTGGGACTTAAAGGCCAATGAAAAGCACACCCACAGCTACTTGAATTCAAATTCAATGACTATGGAAAACGCAGCCTCGTTGAACAAAAGATAAATGGTTCTATTGTTTACTTTCTCACCTTTTAATTGTCCTAAACTGTGTATTTCTCTATAGCGAAAGGTCATCATAGCCATCGCTTCGCTATAACGAATCTCAACCCTTGATTCCCTCTCCAAAATCAACATGAAATCCTATTTGACAAGCTGAGTTACAGAAAACCCTTCATTTTTTCTCAATTCTATAATAAGGGTGTTCTCCCCACAATTCGTTAAAGTAATTCAAGCAAAATATATAACTAAGAAACTCAGCAAATTCTTGAAAAACTGACTGAGGGAATCGAAGAAAAAAATATCCATTAGATTAGATAGGCAGGCAGATGCATCAACCAGCCTGCGAATGAAAAAAAAAGAAACTAAGCAGCCTTTTGCGGATTGACTTACACCATCAGATAAAAGACAGGAAATGGGGGGCTAGGATAAAACAAGACTATAGAAAAGAAAACTCACTACTGCCTGTTTAAAACAGAGAGGATCCTGTGTAATCGATTTCTTGTGAAGATAATCAATATAGGCTGCCTCATGAAGGTTGGACTGACAAATGAAGATGGCTGCCTCATGAAGGATGGACTGACAAATGATTTTCACTGCACACTAATCCATCATTCTCAAAATGAGCCTCTCCATCTGATGACACATCAAAGTTGAAGGTGAAGATGATCAATATAGGCTGAAACCGAAGAACTGGCTAATGAGAATGGCAACCCCAAGTGCCATTGCCACAAAGGATGCTGCCCAAGTCAATTTCTCAGTTATCCTTGGGACCCTTTCTTTCAAAGCCTGACTACAAGAACCTATAAAAACGGTATAGCTCCCCATTGCAACTACCGTTCCAAGTAAGAACATCCCCAGAAAAGCAGCACCAGCCACTCGTGAGGGCAAAGCCAAGGCAGGCAATACCATCATCAGGGCATCTGGCTGCAACCCATGCACTATCCCCGTTGCAAAAGTAGCCAATCCAATCTTCTTCTTGCCACCGACAGGGGCGGGAGCTGTTGTTTCCATTGATTCAATGAGACTCACATCACATTCACCGTTCTCTAATGCGACACAAGGAGCAGGCACCTCCGAGGCCTCTCTGATACCCATCAAACCAATGACAAGGAGAGTAAGGCCGACGACTCTCGTGCCCCATGTGCGTATGACTTCTATGTGGAGCCGATCCTTGAGTAGCAAGAAGAGCAATCCAAATATCACTTGCCCTGCATCATGGCCACAGCCCCACAGGGCCCCAACAGCTGCACTCTCCATTCGGGTCCGACCAATAGAGAGGGGAGCCAAGGCAGCAAGGTGGTCGGGACCTGATAGTGTGTGCAAGCACCCCGCAAAGAAGCCTGTCCACGCACTGCTCAGTAGTTCGGTCCTTACGGCGGCAAAACCGCCTGCCTTGGCAGCAGCTGTTTGGACAGATGCAAAGGCTGGGGGTGCTACAGCTGGCTGTGTCAGTATCATGATAAGTGCTGACAGCAAAATAACAGCCCCAGCAGGAACTGCCTGAAAGTTATATGTAGAGATAGGTGTCAAGAGACTGACAGTTAATAACATGTTATTGTGAGCGTGAACAATGTGTACTTTAGTATTTGATCTTTCCAGCAATATAGAGAGAGCTGAGAAGACCCAATCAACATAAGGTTGAACTTTCTTTAATGCAAATTGAGTGAAGTTGGAGCATAGGAAATTGGAATCAAAAGTAACCAAACAATACTTGCTTTGCGACTATCATAGCTAGAGAATATAAATAAATTCATTATAATAGTAAAAGTTATGAAGAAGATGATTAAAAGCAGAGTGCAGAGACAAAGTAACATGACAAATCCACAAAAAAAAAATTTGAAGGGCTCACTGCAAAATCAAATAATAATTAATATTAGGAAAAGAAATTATAAAGGAAAACTATCTCAGATCAACCATTCTCCGAAAATTCCACAATTACATTTTATTAAATAAACAAGTGATTTTGCACTTGGATCAAGTGGGTGATGCTTCACATGTACTATCCAAGTAAACTGCCTATAGTGGGATATAACGATTTTGCACCATTTGTACAATGTTTATAATCATAACATCCTTTGAAAATATCACATTCTGATGATGATCAAGCCAGGATCAAGGTCCAGCCATGCATCCATGTCTTATTTTCTTCAGCAAGAACCCCAAAGGCACAGCAGCAAAAGGTAGTGACAATCAAGGTCTTTTCTTTTTTTATGATCAGTCATAATGAAAGTTAAGTTGCACGCTGAATACAGAAACTCTTTGCGGGGTACTATAAAGATTAGGTTGAGCAAGTAGATCTACAAATTTGAACAAGCAAAAAATTAGCAGTTTTGTAATAAAATTTTAAATTCAGACATGGAAATGTAAGGATGCAATGTGCACTAGTTAACTCAATCCCCTTCTTATAAGAGGTGATGATGGACAGCTCCTATACCCCCAATATTCCACATCATACAACATAACACACCAGTAATCTTGAAAGTATAATTAATTAGTAACAATAAGGCAGCTGTGTGGTTTTAATTTGCTGACTACCTAACTTTGAATCCACACAAAGACACCATTTTGGTTCTTTTCCAAACTTTTTTCTAGAAAAAATCCCTTCCTCCCTCTTTCCAAGGAAGTAAGCAGTTTTAGGAAGCAAGAGATTCCAAAAATTTTTAACAAAAAAACCCCTTCCTCCCTCCTTCCAAGGAAGCAAGCAGTTTTAGGAAGCAAGAGATTCCAGATATCTTAGTCATCTTGTAGTAATTTCCTTAAAAAAAAAAAATTCAACAGGGAGCTATGACAAACACGAGAAAGAAAAGATTGTTAAGTCAAAAATTGGCAGTTGTTTGATGGATATGGCTTTGATGTGGTCAAAAAGATTTATGAGAGGATCCAGAGTGCTCAACAAAATGGAAAGCTTTACACCCAAGATCTTTTTAGTAAAAAATTTAGTAAAATTTTCATAAAAGCAAAAGTTTAGCAGAAATATGTTCATCTAAGGGAGCAAGCAGTTTTAAGAAGCAAAGGATTCCAAAAATCCACCCAATCACCCAGATTGGTGAAGTCATTTGGTATCAAATTTGCCTTCCTAGGGACATGGAAATGACAATCAAACAAATTTGGCTTAGAATGCCTATTTTTCAATGAGAACTGCCTGCCAAGCTTCAAATAGTCAGTTTTCCTTCAATAACTCTACTATAGTGAGGCATACGGGCAGACAATTTGATGGAAGTGTTATTTTGCTCCAGAAGTAAGCATAATTTGAGTAACCTTGTTGCAGAATCATTAGAACTAAACTGAGCATTAATCTCATATCGGAAAATCCATTCTAGATTGTTACTCATCCCAAGATTGTAGAAAGGCCAACAGGCTCTAGAATAACACCATAAAGCAACTACAAGTCGAAGTCCTCATATCACTTTTTTTTTTTTAATTATAAGTTAAAAGTCCTCACATATCTCAGGGGATGAAGGCAAACTAATCAACACAAGGTTCTTGTTAATTGAAAAAAAGTAAAACAACATTCAATTGCCAACAAGTTTGATAACAAACATCAGCATTTTATAAAAATCAAAATGGAAAAAAAGTGCTTAAAACATGGATTGGGTTTCCTTTGAGAAGGCGTCAGATTCTATTTCTTTTAGCAAATCAAGACCTTGTGTTGCTGGTCAGCAGTCTACCCTTAGGGACCTCCCTTTTGCCCACTTCTATGATAGTGTGGTCATGCAAAAGGGGGGGAAATCATGCTACAATTCAGTTCACTATCAGATCCAAGAGAAAATCAGAGGGAAAGCTAGTAAATGAAAAATCAGGGGTATTATCATAATTTGGCTCTAACAACATAAACTAAGTGGCTCGAGTCACTTAATATACCAAAATGCCCCTGGTTGTCCCTGAAACTTGAAATTTTATTTTTCCTGGGCAATATAGAGGTGTCATCAAACTTGGAACTTTGGATGGATGCTCCACAATCTAAATGCTTTAAAATCCGCCGGATTAAGACATAATATATAAAATGCAATTGTAGCAATAATACGAGGAGAAACGAGAAAGCAGTTAAAATTGATGGCCAAGAAATGCCTAAAAGAGTTTATTTTAGATATATTGGATTGATAATAGAGAATGGAGGGACTAAGAAGATGTCGCACATAGAATTAGAGCTGGGTGAGCGAAGTAGAGATGTGCATCCAGAGTTTTATATGGTTGCCGCATATTCTATAGGATAGCTGTAAGACCAGCCATGCTTAATGTGACGGAATGTTTAACAGTCAACAAAAAACATATCCAAAGGATAAGTGTAGAACTATAGATGAGATGAGGATGTTGAGATGGAAGAGTTGTAAGAAGAGAAATGATAGAATTTAGAATGAATAAATCTAATGGAACTTAGAGGTGATTCCAATAGGAGATAAGAAGTATGAAAGTAGACTTAAGTCGGCTAGCCATGTGCAGCATAGACCTAATGCACTGCCGGTTAGGAGGGGCGATTTGGTTCAAGTGGAAGGCTCTAAAAGGGCAACAGGAAGGCCCAAAAAGACATGGACGGACGTAGTGAGAAGAGATATGGTGACCTATGGTCTGACTGAAGGCCCTTGATAGAGCAAAATGGCGGAACGAGATTCTTGCAGCCAACCGCAAATAGATAAGGCTTCGATGATGATAATTGTGTATTTTTATAAATATTTTGTATTTTGGCACAATGCACAAATTTTTAAATAAAAAACAATTTAAAATGCACAATGTCATAAAACAATTGAAAGATTAATCATAAACAATGTTTAACTATTGATTCACCAAAAACAGACAAGAAAATTCAAAAAACAATTATTTAAATAAATTTATTATATGAAAAATAAAAACTTAAACACAAAAAATACGATTTTTTTAAATAGAGCTTTTCCCAAAAAAATGGAGAACCAAGCAAAAAAAGACAAATTATTTAGAAATGAGGAAAAATAAACAAAAATGTTAGTCAGTCATAACACAATCTAGATCAAAAACCCCAATAAAATTTCAACACATTATTTACATTTTTTAAAATCCAAGCCATTTTTCAAAAAATAGAGAATAAAGCAAAAAGAAATCAATTTCATTAGACATCAGAAAACATAATAAAAAAATTATCTAAAGCATTCCTAACACAATCTAGATTCTAGAACAAAAACCCCAAAAAAACAACATAAAATTTACACATAATTCAATTTTGTGGAAATCGTTTTCAGATAATAGAGAACTAAAAAAAATCAATTTCATAAGAAACCAAGGAATGAACAGCGCACACAAAAAACAAAGTTGCAATAATATACAAGTTTTCTGAAAATAGGAGCCATCTTTCCAGAAAAAGCGAACTGAGCAAAAAGAGTCGAGATAATTAAAAACATTATTTGATTAAATGAATTGTCATCATGTCTAACCTCTTCTGGAGACAAATACCCAAAGACATTGCGGCCTAAAATTCCAAAAATTGTTGGATCTGTGCTCTGATGCCCAAAAAGATAGTAACTTTTGAGCCTAGATCACTTCAAAGTCTTGATTTGATCCAACTAAATGCTATAGGATCTGTTAGAGGGGTCCAAGACGAACAATTTGAAGCAAATTTCAAGTTATTTCATTAAGAATTGAGAGAGAAAATATAAGAATAACAGATTGGGTTTTTAGGCTACAAATCTCGACCAAAGTAAAAATCTATCCAAAAAAATTAGTTTTGGATCTCAAATGAGGCTAAGAGAGATTAATTTGAGTTAAAATCAGTCAAAGTGGAGTCCAAATAGCCAATGAATAATAATTGAAGCAAAAACTGCCAAAAAAGACTGTAAAACCTGCTTTTCATGTGAAATGGGGTGCGCCCCGCGGTTCATCCGAGTTCGGGGGAGAACCGCCCCGGTGCCCCCGCAATCCTAAGCCCAAAGTGGGTGATTCCCAATCGCCTCGACAATTTGTTAAACACAAGGCCAACAATAGAGTGAATCAATTAATCACAGCAAACTCCAAACTTAGTTATTCAAAAAAAATGGAAAAGTATCTAAAAGAAACCTCCCCTGAGAGGTTACTTTAGAGAATATTCTTATGGGAAGAATCCCATAAGAATATTTTCTTCATGCTTATCCTTTGTAAAAACCTTTTTCCTAAATATAGAATACATATAAATAATTATTTTCCAAATGTTTTTAAACAGTCATACGAGGATGAGCACATCCCTGATATCTAGGGGGTTAGGTTCTCAAAGCCCCATTGAAAAGGAACATTAGACTCTATGATAGTTTGCTTCTCTCTTTAAAAAGGTTTGCAAAAAATCTGGGCTCTGCGATCACCAGCGTCATGGCATTCCCTTTTAGACCTGGGCTTTGGCACTCATCCTCACATATAATATATTTGCTTTCACTAGTATCATAGCCACAAGAACTTCTGTTGAACTCCTCTTTTCATCTTCTAAGTATGGGGCTCTTCCATATTGATGCTATTGTGCTCATTCTTTCTTTGGCTTCATATTGTTTTTCTTTTGCTTCAATTTGGCTGGTTTGAAACATCCTTTAATAAGAGATGGTGTCTCTCATTCTCTGTAATTTCTCTCCCCCTTAAAAGGTGAAAGGTTATCTTATAAGATTGACTTATAATTTAAACTTTTCCAAGTACTAAGAAACACCTAACAAATGAAATTCTTTTACTACTCTCAAAGTATTTTATTTTGAGTTTTTGATATTTTCCATCTCTCTCTAAATAAAAGTTTGTTTTTTTTTTTTGAGAAGCTAAAAGTTGTGCTTTGTTGTTGCCCCTATACCCAGCTCTCTCTCCAGCATGGTACACCCTGCCCACTCTTCCCTTTTCTCTCCAAGGAGAACAAGGAAAACAGGACTACCCATAGGGATCACCCCTAATTTTAAAAGAAAGGGTGGCGTGCCTAGTGTCCCGAAAGTGGGTTTGTGCTCTCTCTAGACCTTCACCTTCAAGGAAACCCATACAAAAAAGGGGTCCACCCCTTTCTATTTTTGTTCTTAAACAAGATTTTCTCTTCACCCATATACAACTAAAAATAATAAAAATAAACACCCAGTATACATTATGTTTCTTTTCCCTCTCTATCCCAAAATATGGGATTTATTTGAAACATGAATCACTTTGTTTTGAGGTCTGTTTTTTTTAAGCAGTTTACAGAGAAGGGTAAATGAATAAATAATTAAATTTGTTTATAATTGATTGTTGGTCATATTTTATATGAAAAGGGCCTAGAATTAAAAATAAAAGCAATTTTTTTTCTTCCCAAGAATAGGAAAGACCATTTTTTTAAAACCATCACTTACTAGAAAATCAACTTTTAGTGAAATTGTGAGAATTTTTACTTTGTGGACCTTATTTAACTGTTAATATATAATCTTGATTGCTTTTTTGATGGGGCTTAATTTGTTCCATTTTCTTTGATATATAACTACCTTGATCAAAAACTTGAATTGTGGGCCTCACAATTGCTTAAAAAATTTGATGAATAGCTAAAGGTTTTATTTTTATCCTTGTCATGTATTAATAATTAGAAAGTGTTGCTAATTGATTGCAATTTGCATCTTGTGGCCTTCTATCTCTACAACAAATATTGACTACATAACGAATAATTTTGGCGGCTTTTAGTTAATTTCTTTAACAATTTTATTTTGTTTAGAACTTAGAAACTACTTAGGTTGCTTACATATAACTTAACAAGTCTTATAGCTAGTAGAATTATAATGGCAAAACTCTCAAAAATAGACAAATTGGATGGGGACCAACTTCAGCATGTGGAAGAGAAAGATGGAATATCTCCTCATCCAAGATACAATATTATATGCGCTAAAGGATGACCCACCAGTCATTAGTAATAGACCCACTAAAGAAAAAAAGAAAAAATTAGAAAAATTCCTAGAAGATGAACTCATAGATAAGACATCGATGCTAACATTTATACAAGAAGATACTATTGTGGGTATTTAAAAATTATAACATATCTAAAAAATGCTAGAGGCAATAAAGAAGAAATCTAACACAACATCTACGAGTCACATCCAATTGCTCCTAAAGCAATAGAAATCCTTTAAGATAAAGGAGGGATAATGCGGTAGACCATGTAAATAAAATGCTCGTAATGGCTATAAGACCCAGTCACTGATGGGAATGAAGTTCCTAAGCGCATGCAAGTAGATGTATATTTTGCCCCTTGCAAGAGGCAAAATATTATATATGTCCCTTTACTTATTCCAAAGGGCTTTGAAGTTCGCTTTCAATCATTGAAGGTGTCAATCAGAAACCATGGCCAAATTTATGATGGGGGACACTAGGTTAACAAGCACAACGTGTTCCTTCTCCATTTAGATGAGAATGGTGATAAAAACGTTTCCTCTTATTCTGATTATCTCGATAATGTAATGGTTGTTGATGGTTACTGTTGGCATCTTAGGCTAGGCCACATTAGAAAAGACCAAATGAATAGGTTACTAGAGAAAGGTCTCATTCCAAATCTAAATAAAGTAGAATTCTAAACCACAGTTAACACATTCAAAAAAAAAAGTAAATTTCCAAACCTGTCAGCAATATTTGTCATAAAAATTGACTAGGAAACCATTCAATAAGGAAAAGAGAGCTAGTGAGTTATTGAATGTGGTCCACTAAGACAATTGTGGGCCTCTTGATGTTAAAACACATATAGGGATGTCATATTTCATCACTTTTATTGACGACTTCTATAGGCTTGGATATGTCTACCTAAACTAACATAAGTCAGAAGGTTTAGAAATCTTTTAAGATATATAAAAAGGAAGTAGAAAACCAATTGGGTAGGAACATCAAGTTCTTACAACTGAAAAGAGAGGTAAATACACATCGGAAGCTTTTGACACTTGTTGCAAAAAAAATGGTATTAAAAAGTATACTATTATGCCTTATATACCACAGAAAAATGGAGTAACTGAAAGGCATAATAGAACTCTCTTAGAGATGACTAGGTTGATGACAACTCATGCTAGTCTACGCAAGACGTTTTTGGGAGAAGCATTGAGCATAGCTATGTATATACTTTTAATAAGGTTCCAACCAAGGCAATAGATTCTACCTCTTATGAATTGCAGACAGGTAGAATACCTGGTCTGAGTAACGTAAAGAATAGCACACATTCTAATCCCAAATTAGCAAAAAGATAAATTGGAAAACAAAACTCACAAAGGTTTGTACAAATCTATTGACATCTTTTCTCTTTTGAGGCAACAGACTTGATTTTGGAATTTTGGAGTTTAAGCCCCTTTCTTTGTACTTTGTATATAGTCATCCACATATGACTAATATGCAATTATCATTCCATTTCAATACAATGCACTCAAGTTCATCAAATAATAATAATTTCATCATCATCATTAAAGCCTTTTCCCAACTAAATGGGGTCGGCTACACGAATCTTAGTCCACCATTCTGCTCTATCAAGGGTCATACCCTCAATGAGGCTATAAATCCCAATATCTTTTCTCACTACTTCTAACCATGTCCTTTTGGGCATATCCCTTGCCCTTTTTGAGCCTTCCACTTGAACTAACTCGTACCTCCTAACAGGTGTTGTATCGGGTTTGCACTGCACATAACCAGCCCACCTAAATCTATTTTCTCTCATCTTATCACCTATTGGTGCCGCACCTAAATTCTCCTGAATGTATTCATTTTAAATTCCATCCCTTCTTGTCTTTCCACTCATCCATCAAAAAATCTTCATCTCAACTACACTCGTTTTATGGGCATGTTGTTTCTTGACCGCCCAACATTCCGCTCCACAATGCAAAGTTGGTATCACCATTGTTCTATAGAACTTGCCTTTCAACTTCATTGGTATGCGGCGATCACATTAAACTCTAATTGCACATCTCCACTTCGCCCATCCAGCTCTAATTCTATACACGACATCTCATGATCTTTATATTTTTTGAGAATAAAATGTATTTACCATTCTTATGCATGAAAAATCTTTCTTGTCAGTGTTTGTATTTCTTGAGTAAATCAAACATTAAAGCTCAGCATCTCGTCACTTCCACAAGTAATCAGAAAGGAAATGATTACAAGATAAGATGTCAGCACAATTTTTTCATGTAATTTCACAGTAGGAGACATCATACAACATACATGCCATTTAATTAGCTTGTATCTATAGTTGAGTTTTTTCGAAAATGTATGTCTTGTTACTACCATGTATATAACTAAAATCCAAAACCTTCCAAAGATCAGCTCAAGCAATTCACTCGACCCAAATCAAAGGCCATTGGATCCTCAACTTGTCATTCAGGTGGTCACCATGAAAGTCTAGTCCCCAAATTTTCAGCTTAAATAAAATTCTCATTTCAACTGAAATCTCCAAATGAACATGGGGTAACCAATGCGTCTCAAGATCACCTGTTTGACTGCACAAAGAAGGGGTAAGCCTTGGTACACTCAGAGGTGCTTTAACCTAGGGTCAGGTGTTCAGGAAGCAGGCACCTAGAGGCTCCAAGCTAGTACATTTGAAATACAAAGCCATAAACAAAAAAAAAAATCACTGCTCTTCACAAGGCAATCCATGAAACCCCATATTAGGATCAATCCAGGCTAAAAAGTCAGACAAAAGACCACCATCCTCGAATAAAAACTTAAACCAGGTAAAAAAGGAAAATAGAGCTATCAGACATCTTGTTGTCCTCATATATCAAATGGGTTTGCAAGAACTAAAAGGCAAACCAGAAGCGCAGGTCTCCATCTCATATTAAAACTACTTAAGTCTAGGTTCACAACCAGTACAAATTCAAGAGAAGAAAATTATATCATTTACAGCTCTAAGACACTAGAATCCTACCAAATAAACCCTTAACTTCATTTGCAAATTGTAAGCAAAGCATCAAATGAACAGCTAAAATTTTCAGCTTTCCCTGTAAGTAGAGGTCTGAGACACCCGAATCATACCAAATAAACCAAACATCATAAATAAACCCTAAATTTACTCGCAAATTGTAATCAATACAATGAGAGAGATAGGAACCACGTATGACATTAGAGAGACAAACAGAATAACAGAGAAAAAATAGCAAAACGACACAAAGGTGTGGAAAATCCATGGATATAAATAAGGAAATGGTAACCACTTTAATCCATAACAATACCTTCTTCAAAAATAAGGCCACCCCACCTCCTCCTGCATCTTTTCTGCTCTGCGTCGTCGAGGCCGCTTCCTCTTGCAATTTGAACCCCACAGGACTCGCCGAAGACTGAGAATGAGAGGCACAGCAGCGGTGATGAGAGCTCTGGAGACGTAATCCAAGGGGAGAAAATGGAGGTTGTTCTCGGTTCTGAACATTTGAAGGGGAGAGAGAGAAGGAAGTGAGAGAAAATGAGTTAATGGTAGAGAGAGAAGGGAAGCTTCCAATGTGGCGGGAAGTAGTAGTGAAAGAGAGGAGGTTTTGAATGGGGAGAGCTCTGGTCTTGAGGGAGGTGGGCATGGGAGAGTGAGAGGTGGAGATAAGCCTCTCCATGGTTGCCCGCTCTGCCCTCGAAGAACAGGGATTGGGTTTGTTTTTTCACAGAGATTAAGGAAGAGAGAGAGAGAGGCCCTTTGTTTTATCAGAGCCGAGAGCGATGGGGTTTGTAGAGAGAGAGAGAGGAAAGATTAAGCGTGAGAGAGAGAGAGAAGGGGGAAAATCAAAGTCAAAAGATCGATCAGATGCTCTGATCTCCGTAAATGTACCGGGACAAGTGTCCTTTGGGACCCAATTTAAGGATGTGCCATTTTGTGCTCTCGCGGGATAGTATTACACACTTACTCTTTCGTGCAATAGAACGTTTGCAAGATTTTCTCCCTCTCAAATTCTGGCCTCCTCTTTCAAATCATCGAGATCGGTACTTAGGATTTTGAGTTGTTACACACCTGGATATGGTCTTCTAAAAAATTGAAATAGGACATTATTTCTTTCAAAGTTCATTATGAAAATTTTAGGGTCCTAAATGTATTTTTGGATAGGATTTTTAAGGTTTTTTTATTCAAGCACAATTATATTTAGAAATTAAGAAGTAAGGTTCTAGAATCAAGAGAATCGACTAAAAGTTCACTCGCTCTCGATTCCGAATTATCAGAAAGACTTCAAATTGGCTCAGCAATCTTTAAAACAGTGCTTTAAAAAATGCTGGGTCGGCACAGAATTTCCTGTATATGAGCTGGGAATAAGTCATCCCATTCTGGTTTGTTGTATATATAAGAAAACGGGCGACTCTAGAAGGGGACCGGCGGTTCTGCACAATAAAATGGTGATTCTCTACAGTAAAACGGAGATATGGAAACGTTTCACCAGTTCATACCAGTTTTTGGCGGGTTCACTATTTGTTCACATGTTTTTCGTCGTTTCAGTATTTTACCATAAAGTAAAATGGCAATCCAAACTACTGATTCAGATAAATTTTTGGGGTGCCCGATCTAGGTCACCCGTTCATTTTTTACATCAATGCTATGCATTAACAAAAACTCCATATGAGAAAATGAATGGTTGACATGCTCCCGCAGGAGCACTTAATATATTTTGGCACTTGGCGAAAGTCGATCAAAAAGGCCGGCCACTTTCCGTGAGACCCACCCACTAATTGTGAATAGGGGGGGAAGGGAGGTGGATTAATGAAAGGAACGTGGGGAGTTAAAATGTAGCATCGCTGGCTTTCATTGAGCCTTGTATTTGGTCTTTTTAGGTTTCTCTTCTGCTTATGGTTTTTATTGAAAGTTTCAATATACAGAAACGATGTTTTATGGAAGGTTTCAATTAGTGCTGGCCCGTCCCGGCCCGAGCTTGGCCAAGTTCATAGACCTGGGCCGACCTTGTCCAGACCGCGGCAAACGGGTTGTGGGCTAGGCCATGGCCATGTCCGAGCCGGTTTGACCAGCTCATTGACAGCCCTAGTTTCTACAATCAAGTACAGTGCATCTTGAAAAACTGCCCAGAAAAGGTTTTTATATTGCTAAAAATTTTCTAAATGATCTTCTTGACTTTGATATGTATAGATGCGAAAAAAAAAAAACTTCAAATCCTAAAATAATGAATCTCGTGACATAATATTTGGACGTTCTATTAACAAAATTTTCAGGCAATATGGATTTATATGATCTTTAAGGTTTTTGAAATTTTAAATATAATTACAGTTGGAAATAGATTTTCAACTCATCATAAGACTTCTTACACTAGAACTGTATCCTTTGGCAGTGTGCCCTTCTTTGATTGTTTGAAGTGGATGCCCTGTATAAACTCACCCTTTAAACATTTCTTCATTTAATTTATTGTTGCGGACTGAGCTCTGTATTTGGTTCCTATGTTTCCTTAGTTCATGATTTTCATTTAAATAGAACCATAACTATTTGTAGGTTTTGGTTTATAAAAGACAAAGGGTTTATTTGCATAAATAAGATTGCAGTATTCTGAATTGTTCATTTTAATTTGATATTATAGAATCGACATGTATTTAAAACTATTGCAAAACATATATCGCCTAGTTAAAATTAACAACTTAAATTGATGTAATTTTACTTATATGAATAATGTTGCCACCTTATTGTATTTTCATATTTTTATGATCAGCCGGCTCATACTGACATACGTGGGCGCCCATTAAACCATCATAAAAATAGATTTTTAATCTAAAATTTTAGGAATTCATGATCTAAGTTAAGATGATCGTGAACATGAAAATAAAATAAACTTTTTAATGCTTAGGAAATCAAGATCTAAGTCAAGAAATAAAATAATTTTTTTTGATATTTAAAATGTTATTTTGGATTCATGATCTATCATGAACATGAAAATAAAATAAAATTTTTTATATTTTAAATGTAATTTAAAATAAAATAAAAAAAACAAATCTACACGGTATAATAAGCCCTGTCATGAATGACTTTTCTTTTATTTTTTCGTCTCTAGTTTGGTGGTCAAAATCAACGGTTGGTCAGGTCATTCACAATCCATTTAAACCATCTCTTATATCTCATTTGTGTCCTTTTTGTCACGTGGATATGGAAGCATCTCATTCTCCTCGGTAGATATGACCTCTCGCTCCTCGCTTTTTCCGTGAAATTATCTATTAGAATTGATTAGAGCTTTAATGGCGATAGTACTGACGAGCCCTCGGATCAAGACTTTTTTAAGACGAAACCACTTATTTAATTATCATCAAAAGATATTGGTATTTTTTTTTTTCTTTGTTTTTTCCACTCTTTTTAATGTACCATTTTTTTTCTTTTTTCACTCTTTTTAATATACCATTTTACCCCCATGATGAGAGACTCGCGTGAGGGGCGCTAAATGATAGGGCCAACAGCAACCCCTATAGGTCCAACTCAAGCCCAACTCAACGGGACTGGGCCATAGGGGGCCTGGCCTAGGCAGCAGATAACAAAGAACGAAAAAAAAAGAAGGAAACAAAAACACTAGGTTAGGCCAAATTGGTTTGAGTCCTATCATGATTCTTACCCAAGTGTGGCCTAGCCCTCGGACAACATTTCGTGGCCAAGCCCTAGTTTTTTAGGGGCAAGTTGGATGGCTGGGCCATCCGGCCCATTGTTAGTCCTATAAATGGGTTAGAAAGACAAGGCGACCACTGGATTGAGCCAATACAAATCCAAGTTTGGATTCTAATATTGGATCCAACAGGTGGGTGTATAGTCCAAGGGTCCATCTAGGTTAAGTCCAGTTTAAGATCCGCCATATCTCCTTCTTTAATTTTGACCCTCTGTCCTATTGTGCTATAGTGTAAACTATACAGCCCAAATTCATTGATTTAAATGACCCACATTCATCACATTCATCGAGAGTAGAGGGGTCATTTTCTCTAAAATTTTTAGCATATGATTTTTAAATTTTTCTATCATGCTCACCTCTCCACCAAATTTAATTGACAAACTATTAATAAAATATTGAAAATAAAATAGTAACATAGATATACGATTGATTGAATCCGAGTCGTCAGGCTCTCTCTCACACACAGGATGGTAAGGTTTTCATGAATCTCTCTCACACACACGATGGTAAGGTTTTCATGAATCTGTTGACTCATCTATCTCGCAAATTTTAAGGCAAGAAAATCTCAAACATGGAGAACATAAATACAAAAAAACAAAAATAAAAATTAAAAACAAAAAGTAATATTATTTGATATGTTTTTTAGACCGTCTATTTTAGGTTTTGATGGATCTACCATTTTTTTCACCTCCATCCCTTCCTTGATGCATGAAATACTTTTCCCCACATGCACATATATTCCAAGTCCGAATCCAAAAGACTCAGTCTCAGCCCGAGCCCAAAAGACTTAGTCCCGGCGGCGACGTTTTGGTCAAGCCTGGCCCCAGGACCTAACCCGTTTGTGGGCCAAGAATCGGTCCCAAGAATTGTGGGGAGTTCGGTTGAAATGCTTATCATTTTTCAAAGCCTGAATTGGTCCAAAAAGGAGGCCTCTTACTCTTCCGAAAGAAACAATGAGCATTTATGTGGAGTAGAATGAAGATAAATTTTGAAATACACTTGAGAAATTAAATTTTTTTTTTTTTTTTTTTTGGCTACAATGATATATTATCTAAAATTACTTTTTAGGCAATCATTTATTATAGCCAAAAAAATGTATTTTCAAAAGGAAAATGGTTTCATAGGGCTGCAGCCCTATCAAAATACGTAAAGCCTCACCTCATATCTCACGAATATTTACAATTCAAGCATTGGAAAATCTTTACATTGCTCATTTCAGCTTGAACATTATAGTTGTAAAAAAAAAAGGATTTTAAACTCTAAAAATAGTGTAAATTGAAACAAATTATCTAGACCGTCCATTTCACCCTAAAAAATAATTGTTCAAAGATCCGCTTTTCGAGCAAGGATTTAAAGTGAAGCTTCATTTTGTTTTCATAAAGCCTAGGCCTTGTAGAAACTTCAGCAATGAACAGTGTATAGATTGAACTTTGAAAGGATTTTAAGAGACATTTAAAGTTAGGTGATAAGGAATTATATATATATATATACCACAAAACGCCTATAGGTGAATTCTACAGTACTTCACCTACGGCTTTATCACTGTTTAAAGTTTATCACACGGACACAGATGTCTGATAGTATTTGAATTTTAATATAATTTTTACAAATCATAATGATCTGAAATTTTGTAGGTGTGTGTGCCTTAGTGAGATGCACATGAACAAAATATAAAATAAATAATTTGAATGATAAAAATTACACAAAATACACCTATAAAGTTTTAGGGGTAATTTTGTCATTTTATTTAATGACTATTATTTTTTTAATATTTTATTTTGGTGTGACTTGGTCATATATACACAACCCCAAATTTTAAATAAATCTGATTAGTATAATAAATATAAAAATTCAAATACTACAGGACAATTGTGACCGTGTGATGAACTTTGGATAGTGATAAAGTGTAGGTGAAGTACTATAGAACTTTAC